TATTTTCCCACAGGAGACAGTGCAGGAGCAAAAGGGTTTGACTACCTGAGCGTTAATACCTGTTTTTGTGTCTGATAACACAACAGTAGATGTTTTAAGCTTGCAAGAGCAAGGATCTTGCTCTTCAGAGACTGTGGCTCCCAGCTAAAGGAGACAGTTTTTCAACCATTGCTTCCTACAGCCTGGGAGCAGATGCCAGCTTGCTTAATTCTCCAGCCTGTCAAGCTGTGTGATCACAGAATCACATAGGTTGGAAAAGACTTTGAAGATCATCAAGTCCAACCTGTGACCCAACACCACCTTGTCAGCTAGACCATGGCACTGAGTACTGTGTCTAGTCTATCTTTAAACACCTCTAGGGACGGTGACTCCACCTCCCTGGGCAGTCTATCCCAACAACCCTTTCCATGAAGAAATTTCTCCTGATGTCCAGTCTGAACCTCCCCTGGCACAGCTTGAGGCTGTGTCCCCTCATCCTGATGTTTGAGTCTGGACTGCTGCTTATTTCTGATGCTGTACAGATTGTTCAGGAGCTGCCACTGGCTTATTTCTCTCTCTTCTTTCAACAGCCTTTCCCCTGGGGTGATGGGAACCATACCCTGTTTCACAACCCCCATGTTAACCCTCTCCCAACCGGTTATGAAGATTAAAGGTCCTGACTACAGCCAGAACTTTGGCTCTCCCCATCTTGAAGCAGCATGTTGAGTGGGAACCATCGTTTCTGGGGTCATAATTTCAGAAACCCTGCATTTGAGATGAAGCTGAGTGGTTTTAGTGGCTTCTGTGTGTACTTGTGATGAGGTCCTTTAAATAAACAACTCTGAACGTGAATTTAGGATTTGACTGTTTTTTTTAAATCTGAATCCTTAGAAGTTCTGTAGTGTTTGCTTAAAACATGGAGGCTTCCCCCAGGACACAGTGCAGGAGTAAAGGGTTTTGACTACCTGAATGTTAATACCTGTTCTGTGTCTGATACACAACAGGAACTCACTTGGCATAGGACATGACTCAACTTCATGTTCTTCATGTCTTTTTTCACTGGTGACTGTAAACTCACAGCCAGAAGAACAGGTATGCAGATTAAAATTCAATATATACTGAAGCACATTCTCCATAACCAGCTATTGCAATATTTATTCACAGTCATGAAGGTGATTTTTCTCTTGGTCCCTTCTGGCAGAGGGAGTGGCAGCAAAGATGTTGAGCTAAGCTGTGTGTGCCTTCACAGTGTTCCCCCTCAGATCTCAAATTTTCAGGTGTATCAGTACATATCTTGCTCACAACTCTGCTTTCCGTACAGCTGCAGTCTGATTGTTTAAAGTCACTCACTCAGGTGTTGCAGAAGAAAACACAGTTTTGGCCCCACTGCACATACTTGTATAATGTGTATTTGTCATGTAAAAGCTGCTTAACCTACAGGGTATTAATGACCTTCCATAGCCAACAGCCTGAGTCTGTGCCAGCACATTCTTTTTCAAGTTTCCCCTTGCTGCAAGTTGACTGTTTTCCAATTCTTTCTTTAACTTCTCTGTTTTTTACATGGTACAAAACTGAGCTCTTGTCTCAGTTGTCATTAATCCTGTTCTTCCCAAAAGGAAGGATGCAGCAGCTGCCTTGGCATCTTGCTGTTTAAAGGAGTGATGGATGGCAAGAGAGAAGCTCCAAGTGGGTGCTGCAGGACACCCTTCCCCATGTTTCAATGCAATTTACTTCATCTGCTTACTAGTAAAATGACTGCTGAGACAGTTTTTCTGGGTTAAAAGCACAGAACAAGGCACTGATGGGCGCAGTTGTTTTAAAGCTGACAAAAATCACGCTACATTTAGCCCTACATGAAAGATCACAGAAAAGCAAACTGGTTGTATGTGTTATTCCTGTTTTTCTGCACAAGGCCCAGATAACTCAGTGTCTGGGCCAGCTTTAAAGTTTGAGAACTGCACCTTTTTTAGTTTTTTTTAAAAGTAAAACCTCTGAATAATCCATCAGGTAGTGATTAAAAGCAAAGGATAATTAGGAAGTTGACTTCTCTTTTGTCCCCAGGCCATAATATTCTTTACTGTTTCACCTGTGTTGGTGTAAGGAGAGAGGCCAGCTTTTCCCCATCCCTGTGTGAGGATCATGCCATGGGAATGTGTAATGCTAAAGGAGAGAGAATTTGAGTTCATGGTTGGGTCACTACCTCAGAAAAGGCTCAGTAAGTCACCTCTCCTTAAAAGTCTCCTCCTCAGCTTCTGAGCAGGCCACCTCCATCCCTTCTAGAGGCCACAATCAGATTCTACTGAACAGTTCTGAACTTCAACAAAATATAACCTGATTATATTTATTTTAGCCAAGCTGTTGAAGGCCCAGTAGTGCTTTCAGACCATCCCTGTTGCTGACAGAAAATAATGCTTTAGCCCCTCAATGTTCAGGATGACATGAAACAAACTTCTTCCACCAAAATTCAGCAGCATAGAGAGGAGACAAAGTAAATCAACCCCCTTCATATTTTTAAACACTTTCAAGTCTTATATAAATAAGCAAAAGAAACCAGTCACAAAGAAATGATCTCAGCCCGCTCCAATCAGCATTCCCCCATTACAGAGTACATTCAACAGGAAGTTAGGTCACATGGATTTTTAAGCTGTTAGGTGCTGAACCACCACCAAAATCCACTGGAAAAGAGGCAGCAGTTACCACATGATCCAGTCTTTTTGGTTTTTGATTTTAGCTGTTTGTTTTCGCAAGCAGAGAAGATTCCTCGCTTCTTAGAAAGCAGTTAATAAAGATCTAAAGGTCTCATCCAGGTGGCACCTGGTGGTACACCTGGTGATAGTGCTTAGTCCAAAGGTTCATATCAGTGACTCCACCCACACAGCCAAGGTCAAGAGGAGTTTTCAGTTTTTCCTTTGCTCGGGCCCATGAACTCCAGGCCCTCGATGGGTATGTCCTTTTCCTTTATTGCTTTCTGAAAACGAAGAAAAACAAAACCAAAAAAATTAAAATTGACATGTCTTTACAGTGCTACATGATGTAATCTTTGGTGCAAAACACAGAATCACAGAATCAATGAGGTTGGAAAAGACTTCTGAGATCATCAAGGCCAACCTGTGACCCAATACCACCCTGTCAAGCAGACTGAGTGTGTCCAGTCTCTCCTTAAACACCTCCAGGGATGGTGACTTCACCATCTCCCTGTGCAGCCCATTCCAATGTCTAATCACCCTTTCTGTGAAGAAATTCGAGCTGATGGCTAACCTAATCCTTCCCTAGCACAGTTTAAGACTACATCCTCTCATCCTATCGCTGCCTGGCTGGGAGAAAAGAGATGGTCTAGAAAAACTGATCTAGAAAAAAACCCCAGTAATGAGGCTGGTTTGGATAAAGCTGCAATGCTGAGTTAGTCAAGTATGCACCGAGAATTCACTGACAGTATGGATCCTAACACGGAAACAAGCCGCAGCCTTT